AGGAGAACTCAGCCTCCTGTGACAGCGCAGCCTGTCTCCGCCCACACACCGCTCTGCTGCACTGTGATAGGCGGCTGAGCGGTGTGGGAGGAGAGACAACGGCGGCTCACAGCGCTCTCCTCCTGCAGCGTTCAGCAGGCTCACACTTGCGCCGCTGTAAAAAAACAGGGATGCGCCGCTGTATCGGCAGGAAAATAGCACTTTCGCCATTATGCCAAAAGTGCCAATTTCGGCCGATATGTTTCGGCGGCCGATATATCGGTGCATCCCTCATCAACACATATTGTAGGTTTTGTTACTGCAAGTGAAACAGACAATCCAGAACTGCCTCTCTCGACCAGGGTGTCATGCCACCCTGGTGTGCCTTCTGGCTTCTGACTTTTCACACAAAGTCATGCCTCTGATGTGAAGAAGGCTCCTGATGTGAAAGAGGAGGACTCTGATGTCAAAAGGGGGCTGTGACATTAAGGGGATGCTGATGTGAAGGGGGAAATCCCACTTTTTTTTGTGTGTTTTTGCTTGGGGTTCCCCATCCATACCAGACCCTTCTCTCGTATAAAGGGTTTCGTATGGATTATGGAGGGACCACGTCATTTTTTTTATATTTACAATATTTAGACTGGGTGCCTCGAGAATGTGCATACTTTTAAAGGGTGTTGTGACTGGAAAAAGGTTGGGACATGCTGATCCAGAACACTGTTACATTAGCACACAGACCACAGTGTCCATAAGCAACAGATCTAACACTACCAAAAGCTACTGCACACATACAGCTGGTCGGCAGCCCCATTAATCCAGAAGGATTCACTGGCAAATGAACTGGCATTTGCATGTGATGGAGTGATCTATTCTGAAAGCAGATTTTGTATTTTCATTGTATGTCACTCTACCAAGTCAAATGCAAACCCCACTCCAAAATGTTTTGCAAAGGCCGGATATCACAACAGCGTCATTGAAGCGTAGGAAATGTTATACCGCAGAACTTATTTCACTGCTGTGCTAAAAATGATTGTTCTATATATACAGTAACAAACCACCCATGAAATGTCAACCATGTTGTGCTCTTTTATTCTTTCACATGATTATGACCTTGGTCACAAAAAATATGCAAGTGCAACAGAGGTATGGAAATATTTACTTTGTTGATCTTGATACTAGGACATCATAAAAATTCTCCTTTCCTATTATGTGAAATTCTGTGGCAGCAGTGCAAGATTGCATTAGCTTGAACTACTTATAAAAAGAAGTAAAGCAAACTTTTTTTGGCTTTAACTTCTCTTTTGGGTCACAGGAGTACATGTCTTAACGTATTCCTGCGACCCAAATGCACCATATAGCAGACTACTGCCCACTATATGCCGACAGCAAAAAACCACACTGCACTGGGATCCAGCTAGCTGCCTCTCTAGAGCCAGAGCCAGCTGTGCCCGCGCCCGCCCCCTCCCCTATCTGTTCCTCCATCGCTCTTTGGGGAGACAGAGAGGGAATTCCTGCGAGGAGGGGTGGCTGACAGTTACCGCTCTCTGCAGGAAGGAGACCGTGAGCCTAGCGGTCACACAATGCTAAGTTTTTACTATAGAGTCGGTGGGTGTGACAGCTGCAGCATCCCATGCCAGCTCCAGATATTGGAAAGGGTATATATTTTACTCTTCCAATACTTCTTCTAAATAAAAAACAAACCAACCATTACAGGAGGGCTGGATAAACCCCAAGTAAACAAATGGCCAGAATATTCACAGTACAAGCACCCTATCACCATACAAACATCCTGCTTCTCCATTTCTGTTTTGGCATTCCGACTTTATCACAGTTCTTGCATGATCAAATAGACTTTGAAAGCAAGGACCACGTCATACTAGCAATTCTACCTCTGGTGACAGATCAATGGCACAACAAACAAAATACTACCGTCATTTTCCCTTGCTAGAAACAAAACAAACCACAGCAACATCTAAATCTCTTGAGGAGATGACAAAGCAAATTGCTTTGGGCAGTGAAAGACTGACATAAGAGGAAAAGGTAAGTTAAGTTTTTGTCATTGTGTGGTTGGTAATTTGTCACTAGTTGCAGATTTGATACCATTACACAGGCCTTAGCCCTGGTTCACACCTAGGCGTATTGCATATGCGCAGTTGTCGCGCGGTTTTTTTACCACGATTCGCGGAAAAAACATTGCGCGACAAACGCGCGTTTCCGAGGGCTACTTGGCTGTATCCCAATGGAAACGCGCAACCAAAACGGCCCAAAGTAGTACATGTACCTTTCCAGGCGTGGGCCGTTTTGTAGCGCGTTAGGGACGGGCTGAAATACGCCAAGGTGTGAACCAGACCCATTGAATACAATGGGATTTAGATGTTTGAGCGTTTTGTGGAGCGTTCGTCGAGCGCAGAACGCGCTACAAAACGTTCAGGTGTGAACGAGGGCTTAAACAGTTTTGCCTACCCAATCGCAAATTACCATCCCCTCGGCATGTTCACCATGTCAGACGGTAATTAAAGTACTCCTTCTGCAGCACCCTGAAAGGTGGGTGGGTGTACAGTGCTGAGGTGGGTATACAGTGCTGCAGTGTGACCCCAATTTTTGATAGATAACCATTCTAACTGGTTACCAATCAAAGGATCCTCATACCTATCCTTTCACTGCCACAACTTTGTTATAGCTGGGCAGTAGAGAGATGGGTAAGAAAAATAGTTAGTTTCACTGTAGAAGTGGTGATTTGGGTAGCTGTGCAGCTACTGGGATCACTTCTACACACAACTGGCTGAACCCTTTATTCTCTTGCTCCCTGGGCTCACCTTCCTTCTCTGAGCATGGCACTTCTGAAGGATGCAGGGGTTCGAAGGATGGCAGAGCAGGCTGAGGAGATCAGGGAAGATCCATTCCTGAACTCCACCTGCTAAGACTGAACTCGAAAGTACTCAGCTCTGAGCACTTCCAGGTCAGAACTGACAAAACCTGGCTGGTAGTGACTGGGCATACAAACAAATTGGGAACTCGTTGTGCCTGATCTGCCTGGACAAGTGGCAGGGAAGACAACATAGACCCCTGATGTCTCCATGAAGAGGACCTATTATTACTACATCATAGGGGGATATCAGCCATTTGGTAATAGTAGAAAGAAATACAAGTAAAGCAGTTTTAAAAATGAATAAAGCAGCATAAAACAACAACAATGAATAGGCCCCCAACCCTCACTACTCGCATGCCACTGGTGTGCAAATAAAAAAAAAACTACTTGTCCAAGGACTTAAGCGGGGGCCCGATCTACTTGTCCCTTATGGAAATCTACTTGTCCGGATAGAAAAAAAAAATCTAACCCAAACTTTATTTAGCAGTGCCAAGAAGAGCTTCTCATTGGTCAGTGCAGTCAGGTAACTGCGCTGACCAACGAGTGCTTGAAATTTGCGAGCGAAATTCAGAATACATGGCATAGGTACAGATAGTACAACTGTACTGGCGGACAGGAGGGACCGTTCGCTGAAAGGTAAGTATAGCAGATTTGTGAGGGTAATTCCATTTTCCCAAATTACTTGGGAAAGTGAATTTACCGTTTGGGGCGGGTGCAGACTTGGGTGACCGTGTTTTTAATGGGGTTACATCCACACGGTAAATCGCTGAAAAAAGGTACATGTACCTTTTTTCACGACGCGCATCGTGCCCTGTTTTCAACCGCGATTATGTGCAATTGCAAGGCCTTATTGCGGCGGGAAACTGCTTAATCTGCCTGGCGCGATCTGTGACAAACAAAAATTATAATATGGGCTAATCTGTGACAAACAAACAAAAAAGTATTATTATTTTTTTGTTTGTTTGTCACAGATTACTCCAAGCTACATTAAGTGAGCCCGGCGCGTCTGTCACACATATATTTATTGATATATTGTGAGGTGGATGAATACACGTTCCACATATCACATGCCTCAATAATTTCTTGGACATTTACACACTGACGTATCGATTACACAATGAGATAGAAGATTACGGCATTTATATAGATGTTTATGTGTTGTTTATGATTTATTCTTTACTCTGCTATTCACATTCACTTAGATCAAGCGCAACTTATTCACTATATTAAATATGTTCTCTTTATTGACCCTGTCACCTCCAACACAGGAGTTCTAGCACAGCACTGTGCTTGTTCTCCTGTGACAGGAAGGCTGCATTCCTGTGTCACTATTCACACGGAGCATAGCAGAGAAGCGCTCTCTGCCCTGCTCCATGCTCTCTAACCTAATTTCCGTAGGCACGGATCCCCCACAAGAGGGGGGACCCTGAAGACCACGGTAAAAGTTACAAGTGATTTTGGACGGCTGTACAGCCGTTTAAAATGACTTGTACAAAACGGCTCCCACACAACATTTAGCCGTGCTGCTTGCCCGCAGCCGGGCTAAATGTAGAGAAAAACTAGTCGCCGGCGCACGAAACTGCCTGTAGGAATTCCACACCCCTGCATGCACACATGCAGTCAGGATGCATGTTATGTACACAAAAGTTTCATACAGATCAGGCATCCCTGCACTTGCCAGGGGTAGAAGAAACTTTTTTCTCAGCTGTATCTTTTATTATTTAATCTGTTTGCAATGGCCCTGCTGTACATCAACGTGGTCCCAGTAAATGACAGCCATCCTACTGACAAATATCTAATATTTGTTAGATATAAGATATCTAACAAAACCTACATATGCTGGGGGAAGCTCTACTTGGGATAAATAGGAGAAAATAAATTTTGTGAAAATGTATGAAACCGTTTTCATTAAAAAAAAAGTTACATATTTGGTAGGTTTGTCCATTTCTTTGCTTTTTATGAAAATATATTTAAAGTATTGTTTTTTTTAAAACATACTACTAAATAAGGGCATGGAAAGGGGCATGAAAATCATCCGGTGTGCAGAGGTTAAAAAGTTATTTTACTGAACTATTACAGGTTGTGCCGTCTTCTAACTGGTCCAAACCACATGATATATACTGTTTGTAAGAGTTCTGGAAGAATAACCTACCTGTCAGAAGAGGAGTCTCCTGAAGAACTTTCCTCCAATTCATCATGAGATACAGACAGAATTTTACCAGAAGCTTGTGGAATACAGACTGATACATGTGGAGACTCCCCAGGATTTCCATTATGCATAGCCACTGTATGGTTTTCAAAATGCAAAGTTTCACCCAGTTCCATTTGTTCTTCTGGCTGTACTTCACAAGGCTGACAGGAGCCAGGCTTTTCTTCAATCCTAGGGATTCCAGCTGCTGAGGAAGAGGTCTGCGTTCCATCGTTATTATTCATAGGTGCTTCAGTGGCATCATCACTACATCCAGACAATGAACCTTCCTTACCAGGATCTACATCTGCTACGGATGCTTCTTCCGATTTACAATCAAAGCTGTTGACATTGTTCTGTTGAGTATTAACAGCCACTTCAGCTACAACACTTTCCTCCTGTGTATCCATGGTATTCTGCTGTGTATTATAAAAGCATAACATTAGGTTTATTATACTGCTTAACCAACATGCAATGCATTCAGCAGCTCTCGACAGTGAACACATCATAACCATCAACTTCTAAATACTGTTAACACAGTCATTTCTGCAAACTTATATTCACTACGTATAGTCAAGATTCCACACAGTGCCGTCCGTCCGTTTTTTAACTACGGGCGGACGGCAAGAGGTTAAAGTGATAATAAAGCCAAAAGATTTTTAAGTTATTTCAATTGCTGATGAAATCACGAACAATGGATGCTGCTCCATTAGGCTTAAACGTGCTAGTTTCCTGCAGAATCAGCTGGTCCCCTGAGCACTGGTCCTGATACCCTAGGGTGGCTCCTTTCCCTTGCAAGGTCCTATGGAGTCACCCTTGTGTGTGCTTTCAAGCGGTGTGTCTCCAGAAAAACACAAGCACAGCAAGGCAAGACACTCCCCTGTTCTCCACTGTTTGGCAAGTGTAAATGTTGTCTAAGTTACAAAATGGCTTGTGCAGCAACAATACAATGCTTCAGCTGTGCTAGCCTGATCCAACTGGAAGTGTGGGGGAAAAATAACTTTCCTGCAAGGGAAGTCTTACAATTTAAACAATGGTCAACAGAGACAAAACGCCTGTAAAAGACCTGACAGAGGATCTAGGAACAATGTCCGAGTAAAGGGAAGCCCAGAGCTGCTCTATAAAGAGACAGTCCTAAGCTTTAACTCACCTGATCACATAAAAGATCAAAAGGAACAAGAAAGTCCATATGTAGAACAACTGTCAGGGGAGGAGCTCACCATGCCACGGCAGTAACGTATCAGGAAAGAGGCCCAAGGATGACTTGGATTGGAAGACCGTCCATGGAAAGTAATGGTGATTATTAACCCACCCGGAAAACAAAGGTTTCATCCCACAGAGTAAACTTGACCAGACACTTGTTTTGGCTCCAACGCTGTCTCAATCCCTGGTAATGTGGGACTCTGTGAGGGGGAGCAAAGAGTTTGTCTCGTCATATACCCCTTTGGCACCAGTTTTTTATAACGTCAGGTTTATCCCAGGGATGCAATATGAAGCGTTTCATTGGTGGCAAGACAAGGGCCTGTATCGTATAGCACAATACTTTTGGGACCGTAGCCCTTTAACCCTGGGATATTGTCAGGGGGTATTGCACATGCCGAACTCTGAATTATTTAGATTTTGCCAATTACGCCATTTCTTGGCCTCTTTACAGACACCAGACCGAGATAGGCCGTTTGCAACGGCATATGAGAGATGGTGTCTAGATGAAAAAGGTCAGAGGGATGGAATAGAATTGATTTATTCGTATTTAGTAGAGGTCGGAGGTAAAATTACCATATATGTTAAAATGGGAATGAGATTTAGAATGGATATCCCTAAGGAAGCCTGGCAAAGGTGCTGCACTCGGGTATTCTCAGGACTCCTAAATATATAACTAATGGAAGCAAACTATAAAATTAATGTCCCGGTGGTATCTGGTCCCCTCCAGGCTGGCTAAAATCTATCCAGATGCGTCTGCTGCTTGTTTTAGGGGTTGCACCGCACCCGGTACTATGTACCACATTTGGTGGCAATGCCCCAAACTTAGAACTTTCTGGAATATGTTTTATGCCCTTATATACAGAGTAATGAGTATCCATATTCCAAGAGAAGCTCAATATATATTGTTGAACTACCCAATCCCAGGGCTATCAAAAGCCCAGGATAGACTAATCTTTCTTTTTATTGGCGGCTAAAATCACCATAGCCAAAGTCTGGAGGCAACCAAAGATCTCCTTTAATCAATTTAAATCTAAAATATCATGGATCATGATACATGAGAAACTAAATAGTATACTTCAGGACAAAGAACAAGGATTTGAATTAATATGGTCTCCTTGGATGAATTATAATAACATGTAGTTGCTAAATGAATTGAGATAATGCATGCGATGAGGGATGAGAGTGAACTTACTGGGAGTCGTTTTGTATTCTGTACGGAGGCATGAGAGAGAAGGGAGAGAAGATTTATTTATTGACTCTTTCCCCCACCTCCTTCCTCCTATGTCTTTTTTTGTCTTTGTTTATTATTGTTTATTCGTATGTGTTTTTATATGATCCGCTGCTATATCATTAAAACGGACGGGATATATTTTCGAGTTTTTGTCATGTAAAAGTATTAATAGGTGGATGATGCCACATGTTGAATGCCATAATGAGAATGATACTAGATGTAAACCCGTAAATAATAATAATATGCACCATTAGTGTTGTATGTTTTGAGTGTTTTATGTATCTATTGCAAACAAATAAAATATTTTGAAAAGATAGTGTCATGTTGCCGTGCAGTAATAAAAAGTAGTGCATTAATTACTTTTTCTTAACTGCAAGGAGGTGTGTTGGGGTGCAATTAAGAATGAAAGGAATTGCACCTAGTGTATGGTACCCTGCACTGTGAAATAGCATGCGCTTAATGCATAGCACCCCAATGCACCTCCCTGTTGAGAAAAAGAGTAATGCATGAACTACTTTTTATTACCGCAAGGTGGAGCGCATGAATGGCAATGCACCAAGAATGCAATAACCTGCACTGTGCGATAGTGAGTACTCAATGCACAGATCCTGTGCATTTAGCACAATGCTATGGTGTAAACTGGCATTTAATTTAACAGACAGCTAGCAAGCCGGAAAAGGGTTACTCTTTCAGTAGAAGAAACATACAATGTCTGTTCTACAAAAACAACTCTGCTACATGCAATGTTTTTTCACATTCAGTTCTGCATTAAAACAAATCTGTAATTCTCCCATACTGTGACAATGTAATGTAACGGGTTCGCAATTCTAAGTCCCCGTTCACACCTAGGCATTTTATCTCTTAATGAATCAATGAAGATCACCAGCATCAATGAAGATCACCAGCATCAATGAAGACCACCAGCAAATGGAATAAATCCTCAGGTTCTTTTTATTATAGAACTGCGTCACATGTATCATATAGCCAACGCACAGGGTCCCTTCATCAGGGCAAACAAGTCACACTGTACAGTTCATATCTGCATACCGACTGGTTACAATGGACCTTCTATAATAAAAAAAAAAAAAAAAAGAAAAGGACGGGGACGGTCCACTTTGATGGCAGGTGCACAAACAAAGTAAACTAAAAATAAAAGAAAGATTTCACGCAAAAAAACCTTTGGTCCCGGCTTCCAACATTTCCAGGCAGCGTGGGTGACATTGCATCACTATGCTGCTGGCTCCTGGAACAGTTAGTACCCAAAATCCCACAAGAATGTGCATCAGCCAATTGCATGCATGCATTATTGCAGAATGTTGAGTGCCTAGGAGGCTGAGGCAAGGAGCAGTGTCATCACCTGTGCCCAGCAATGCTCTGCTGATAAGGCAATCCCAGTGTGTATTGCTTTTGCAAACTGAAGTCATTTTGCACTTTCAAAAGCAGGAAGTGAATGCTCTGCAAGTGTAAGTATTTCAAAATCACAGCATTTTACACCTGACATGTCTATGTTATTATTAATCATCATACATAGAGGGATGTATTGGTAGAATTAGATTTTTTAGTGTAAAGGTCTGCTCTAAAGGGTTTTTTTTAGCAGCTAATTGTGTTTGGGGGGTGGTGGTGGGGGAGAGCACTGTTCAAGTCTGCTTTAAAAGGAGAACTACCGTGTTTCCCCAAATTTTTTTTTACCGTGTTTTTTTTTTTGCATGAAATAAGACACCAAATCCTGTCACGGCTCTCTGCCGTGACAGGGGAGGAACTGGATACCCCCTCCCCTCCAGTGCTGACTGGCGGAACGGACAGGGGGCGGGTACAGCTGGCTCTGCCTCTAGATAGGCAGAGCCAGCTGTCACTCACGCAGGTGGGCGGATTCATACATAATTGTCGGGATCCGCTTCAGCGTCCCAGTATACCGCAAGCTGTAGCTCGCGGTATACTGAGCTTAGGGTGATGGGAGGACGCTAGTTTGTGTCCTCCCGTTACCCTAAGGAGAACTATGGGGGAAGAGCCCTAACCCCATAGTTCTCCTTTAAGTCCCTGTTCACACTACTGCATTAGGTGACCATGCAGCAAACTGGGGAAATGTGTGCTTTGCCACAGGTTCATGGAAGGTATCAAGGACATGGAACACGCTTGCAGCGTCACCCCAAACACAGCCAAGCAAACATGCTTGTTTCCTGAACGTTAAAATGCATATAAACACGCGGGGAAATAAACGTGGGATGCCAGAAGCAAATTTTGCTACATGTGTGACTTTCCCATGTTTGTCGTGCACGTGTCACCTATTGAAGTCAATGGGGACGTAAACCAAACGCAGGAAACAAATGTCCACAAACGCACATTCCCGCTACACAATGGTATGAATGACAACTAAAAGCACTGATTACACAGGTAATCAGGATGCAATCCTACAAAACATGACACATCATGTCAATGCCCTAAATATAAATGTAGATAGGGCAGAAACATGGCCTACATGTTCTCTCTCATAATGGAAGGAAAACCTTGCATGTAACCTTTTAAACTGGTTATTATACAATAAGGACTAAAACAATACGTCCCATCGTCTGCTCGGTGTGATATATGTGGTGTGAGAGGTGATCATCTGTGACACAGAACAGACACAGCAGAATACTCACCACAGACCGGCGATCAGTTGGTCATCGCACACCCCGAGCTCTCAGTGACACCACGCGTGCACTCCACGCCGCTCAGTTTTGCGTTCCAATGCAAGCCTCGTTATCAACTAGTTTTTTCCTTAGCCGCTGATTGGTTGAATAAGTCGGAAGTTTGTATCGTCTCTTTCTATGATTGGACACTCTATCTCCAGGCTCTTTGGTGACGTCACCCAGAAGTGTACTGTAGGCTTATTTATAGAGGTAGCACTTACATAGGCACATGGTTTAGTATCAGTATGCCAGTCTGAGTTTTCGCCGCACAGCGAGCATGTAACGTCCCCTCTGTGTGACTCTGCTGTGTAT